TGTTTCAAAATAAAGCCAGGCATGGTGGTGCATGTCTGTAATCTCAACACTGGGGAGCTGAGGCAGGAGGATTGCTTTGAGTTCTCAGCAGCCTGGGCTACCTAGTGAGTTCAAGGACAACTTGAGCTACATAGCAAGATCACAACAACAAAACAGAAAAGTACAAAAAATTTAAAAAGCACTTTACATTAGCATTCAATTTATCTGGTCATGTGTAGTATATTTCTTTCTTTTTTTTAATTTTTATTTTTGTGTTTTAGGGAAGGGTCTATAGGGTGTTCAGGGTCTCACTACTAGATTGGACTCATGTTGATCTGCCTGTTTATAGCCTCCCAAGAGCTGGGATTGCAGGCGTGCACCACCATGTACAGCCTTTGGGAGCTTTTCTTGATTGTCCCACTCCTGTGCTTTTTTGTAAGGGTAGTTGGTGCTGAGTGCGTTTTCCATTTTCAAACCCTATGATAATTTTCCTTTTAGCAAAGAATGGCCGTGTGGATTCTGAGGACCGGAGGAGCCGCCACTGCCCATACCTGGATACTATTAACAGGTCAGTAGGATAGAAAGGTTGAATGCCCTAAAAGGAAAATTAGAGCCATGCAGAAAATTGTTTGAACAATGTGTCAAATAACACATTTATCGTTTTTTTTTTTTTGTTTGTTTGTTTTTTGTTTTTTGTTTTTTTCCCCAGGGGTTGGGGGGATTGGGAATGGAATCCACTGAACTGCATTCCAAGCCTTTTTGTATTTTGAGACAGGATCTTGCTGAGCTGCCAGTTTACTCAGACTGGGCTCAAACTTATAATCCTAAAAAACAGAATAAAAATCTGGTCAGGGAGATGGCTCAGTGGAATAAGTGCTTCCCTGGCAAGCTCAAGGGCCTGAATTCAGTCCCTGGTTCCACAAAAAAGAAAAAAACAACACCAAAAAAACAAGGCCCAGGGAGATAGCTCAGTGGAATAAGTGCTTGCCTGGCAAGCACAGGGTCCTGAGTTCAATCCCGGGTATTGCCAAAAAAAAAAAAAAAAAAAAACAGAAACAGAAAAAAAAATAAACACCTTAGAATCCTGCTTCAGCCTCCTAGAGTGCTGGGATTATAGATGTGTGCCACCATACCCCATATTCACAAACTTTGCTCCTTTTAAAGCTTTCTGCCCAGAAAATGGCAGAGGATGTATTGTAGACATGTCACTGTGTGTTGTTTAAAGGGGAACATAACTTGCATAACAGACTTGTAGCCTGCACTCTGGGAGGCTGAGGCAGGAGGATCACAAGTTGGAGCCCAGCTTGGGCAATTAGCAAGATCCTGTTACAAAATAGAGGAAGATTGGGGATGTGACACGGTGTACTGTGAAGGCCTTATGTTGAAATCTCAGTACTGCAAAAACAAGCGAAAAGTTTGCATTTTAGAGTAAGAAAATCCATAATATACTTGAAGTAGTATTTCCAAACAAACATTTCTTTTGCATCACTATATACTCGGTATTTGTGCTTTAGGTTGCAAATGTTTTCCTCCTCCCCACCAAGGCTCCTGTGTTTGGAGCATGGTTGGGTGGTGGGTGCGCCACTCCTCGATGGCATCATGCATTGATGAGCTTGCAGCTGAATGTGTGCTGAGGAGGCGGAGCCTGCTGGCAGGTGGGTTGCTCTGAAAGCGGCTGTACTTGTCTCCAGGGCTTCTCTTTATTTCCTTCTGGCTGTCGTGGGATGGGCAGCTGCCCTCCGCCAGGCCATTTCTGCCTTGGAGCCAACCAGCTTTGGACTGAACCCACTGGCAGCATGAGCCAAATGTACCCCTCTCGTCTTTTGAGTGGTGGGTAGCGGGTATTGTGTTTCAGTGATGAGGAAGGTGCCGAAGATTCAGACCAAAAGCAAACTTTATATGAATGCAGAACTAGTTACCACCTCATTGTGTTACCTTCTCTCATTCCCACATGGCCTGTTACACAGTGGTTTTCACCTGTGTTCAAGAATGGTGCTGTTGGGGCTGGGGAGATAGCGCAGTAGAATGAGCGCCTGCCTGGCAAGCGCAAGAGCCTGAGTTCAATCCCTGGTTCTGGAAAAAAAAAAAAAAAAAAAAAAAAAAGAATGGTACTGTCTAGTAGAGCTTTCTGCAGTAATAGAATTGCTTTGCATGCATGTGTGGTGGAGGTGGGGGTACTGGGGAGTGAACCCAAAGCCTTCTACAGAACTACATTCCCAGAATTTACTTATTTACTTATATATTTATTTTTGAGACAAAGTATCACTATAGCTGGGCTTGAAATTTCAATCCTTTTGCCTCACCTTCCCAGAAATGCTAGGATGACAGGTGTGTGTTACCATGCCTGGCTGGAACAAGAAATATGTGGCTTTTAATTTTTAGTTTTATTTATTTTTTTGGCAGAACTGTGGATTGAACTCAGGCCCTTGTGCTTGCCAGGCAGCACTTATTCTACTGAGCTGTCTCCCCAGCCCCTGAATATGTGGCTTTTAAACACTTTTTGAAATATGGCTTGTGCCACTGGGAAACTGAATTTTGGTGTATGTGGTACCAGGAGTTGAGTCCAGGGCGTGCATACCAGACATAATCCCTATAACTGAGCTAGAGATACATTCCCAGCCTAGGAACTGAATTTTAGGCTTTATTCCACCCCCCCCCCCCCGCCTTATATTTAGGACAGGTTCTACAGGGTCTCACTACGTAGATCAGACTCTGATGATTCTCTTGTTTTCAGCCTCCCAAGTGCTGGGAGTACAGCTGTGCACCCCATGCCTAGTCTCAGCTGCCATCGTAGCGTGCCTGGGGCCAGGACCAGCATGGCACACCAGGATCGCACCCTAGCCACTGCGCTCTGCCTAAGCAGGTGCTTTAGTCCACTGAGCTATCAGGTTGGCCCTTATTTTCATTGTTTTGAACTGAATTAATAGTCACATGTGGTTAGTAGCCCCTGCTAGCCCTACTAGGCACAACTAGTAATGCCTTTATTAATACAGGATTTTTTTTCCCCCCCATGGAACTGGGGATTGAACTTAGGCCCTTGCCCTTGCCAGGCAAGTGCTTATTCTTTTTTTTTTTTTTTACAAGTGCTTATTCTATTGCGCTATCTCCTTGGCCCCTAGTACAGGATTTTTATTAGTTATACTGAGTTACTTTTTTACCTGTGGGTTTGGTGGATGTGAGGTTTTGTTTCTTTTTAGTATATACTATTATACTTGTTTAAAATTACTTTCTACTTGAATAGATATGGTCATAGGTATTTCCTTAAACTTCTTCAGAGTTCCTCTTTAGTCTTTATTTTGTGTGTGTGTGGCCAGCTCAGCCCACCAGGGGGCGGGGCTGGCTGGCATGTGGTGCTGGGGATTGAACCGTGGTCCCTGTGCTTTGCTAAGCTTGTTCTAAGTAGGTGCTTTAGACCACTGAGCCATCTCACCAGCCTTTCCTCTATTCTTAAGATTTTTTTTTTTTTTTTTTCAGAACCAGGGATTGAATTCAGGCCCTTGCACAAGTGTTTATTCTACTGAGCTATTTCTCTGGCCCCTTCATTCTTTTTTTAATGGTCTTATAAGAACCTCATTCTTTTTACGGTCTCACTGCTTTTGGAGTTCTCTTATTTTAGTCTTACTACAATGCTCCCTTCAGAGAAAGTGACTAATGAAAGGGTTTTTTTGTTTTTGTTTTTGAAGAATTTTTTTTTGGGGGGCCCCTCTCAAGATGCCTTCAGGGCAGGTCTGGTTTGGCTTGAGAATGAGGGGATCAAACCACAGCATCCTGAACCTGACTGCTTTGTTTCAGCAGGCACTTAAACACCTGAGCTAATGGGCAGGCCCCTGAAATCATTCTGTTGTAAGGATTTTTTTGTTTGTTTTTGTCAGAACTCAGGCCCTTGAGCTTACCAGGCAAGCGCTTATTCTACTGGGCTATCTCCCCAGCCCTGTTTTTGTTTTTGAGACAAGATCTCCCAGTATATTCTGGTCTTGAACTTACTACTTAGCTCAGGCTGGCCCTGAACTTGGAGAGATCCTCCTGCTTCATCCTCCTGAGTATTGGGATGCATTGCAGGCATGTGGCACCACACCTGGCTGGAAGATTCTTGACTTTTGGTAGATGTATTTATCCCTTGGTTTCTGTGGGAGCTTGGCAGCAAGATGCAGTAGATACCGAAATCTGTGTATCTATGGATCTTCAAGACATTTATATTAAAATGGCGTTATAAGCCGGGTGTGGTGGTACATGCCTGTAGTCCCAGTACTTGGAGGGCTGATATAGGAGGATCACTGCAAATTCAAGTCCAGCCTGGGATGCATAGTACATTTGAGGCCCCAGCTTGAACCACATAGTGAGACCTTGTTTTAAAAAACAAGAACACAACAGGCATTGTGGGGTTAAGGGGTGTAGCTCAGTGGTACAGCGCTTGCCTAGCATGTGTGAAGCCCTAGGTTTATCCCCAGTGCTGCCTAAAACCTCAGATAGATCCATGAAAGCACCAATGAAATGGCAGCATGTTTGCTTATAGTCTGTGCCTCTCCTGTTAAATACTGTGCATCTCCAGATTGCTTATTCCTAATGCAGTGTAAATGCTTACTGAACAGTGACTCGCTATCTTGGTTATAGTGGAGTAATGCGGAAAAAAGAAGGTATATATTTGTTTACTTACAGATGTAATTCTTCCCTCAAATATTTTAATCCTTGGCTGGTTGCATCCACTAGTGCAAAATCCAGGGGCGAATAAAAACTACACCTGACAAAAAAGAGGGTCCCAAGAGCCAGCGAGATAGCTCAGTGGACTAAGCGCCTGCTTAGGCAAGCACAGGGACTGAGGTTTGATGCCCAGCACCACATGCTGCGCTCATCGTGGGCACATTGAGCCAGCCATGGAGATAAGGCATGGTGGCACATGCATGTGATCCCAGTGCTGGGGAGGCTGAAAACAGGAGGATCATTAAGAGTCCAAACTGCCTGGTAACACCCTGTATCAAATACATAAGAAAGAAAGAAAGAAAGAAAGAGAGCCAGGGAGATAGCTCAGTAGAATAAGCGCTTACAAGGGCCTGAGTTTAATCCCTGGTTCCACAAAAGAAAGAAAGAAAGATAGAAAGGAAGAAGGAAAGAAAGCAAGAGAAAAAAAGAAAGATCCAGTATGGGGGCTGTGCAGATGCCACAGCGCACCTGCGCCCTGGCCCTGGCCGAGTGCCTCCTGTGGCTTCTCCGCAGAATGCTGTGGGACATGGGGCACATGGAGATGTGCCCTCCTAGACCTTCATCCTCACTGACTTGTTTTCTTTCCTGTGTTTTGGTTCTTGTAGGAGTGTGCTGGATTTTGACTTTGAGAAGCTGTGTTCTATCTCCCTCTCACATATCAATGCATATGCCTGTCTGGTGTGTGGCAAATACTTTCAAGGTAAATGAATGTTGTGAATTTATAAACCTGAGTTTTCAGAGCTGTCTGCAGGTCTTTTTATTTATTTATTTTTTTTAACAAATTCTTAACAAAATGACAAAAATTTTAGTATTTGTTATTAAATAACAAAATATCAAAATTTGTATTTATTATTAACAAAATCACAAATTATTCTGCCATGGGACATATTTAATACTCCTTCTCTTTGTTT